ACAGTCTTCCATGACTTGACTGAGAGTCAACACGATTCAAGTGACGTCATTCGCGCGTGACAGTATTGTACCACGGCCGAGTGAAACCCCAACGGTCGAGTACGGTAATGTTCTAATTTTAGTACAGTGACGTAAACCAAGAACCTCGATCACACTCGATGACGTCACTGGTCTGGTGGTCGCTTATACGCAACTACAGGACTGAAGATTGACCACCATGGCACGTGACTTATACAAGGCTTCCACCGACTGCACATGCGCCACTGTCGGATGGCATGGATTGGAAAGTGGACCGAAATCCAATTTCTCAATACTGTATGGCAAATCAAAACATCAAGAGCGAATTGCTCTAGGTTGGACTGATCTATCTGCTTGGATTATGAGCTCATTTGAAAGTATATTTCTTCCAAATTGAATGATATAATTTAAGGTGACACTATAGCTGAACAGTGAACATCTTTCAGCTATTTTAGAGGCCTTGCTATGCTGTTGTCCTACTGGTCTTCTAGACAGTGCATGACTGCGAAAGCGCAACAAAACCTCCACTTGATCAGCGCTTCCTACAAAAGAAATGCAAGAGACAATTTCTCTCTATTTTGAGGTAGCTTCCGACATGGCACTCGACTGCAACGATACAACATGCTCAAGGCATAGATTATCACAGTACTGTACAGTCAATGCATCGTTTAGTTTACTTTTATGGCACTGGTATGGTGCTCGGAAGTTATTCCCTGATCAAGAGTGATCATGCTGCAAAAAACTCAACCTCGACTTGATCAGGGACTTGCAGAGAAATCGAACCAATTCCTCTCTATTTGAATTAAAGATACTTTTAATATGAGGAGTAAGACTATACTAATAATAGCAGGGTCATGGTATGCATTACCACAATGTAGAGTAAATGCATCCTTTAGTCTGGTAATCCTTCTACTCTACAAGATAGATTAGTCAGTGTAACTACGGTAAATATTTTGTTACAGTGTATGTCAATGACACTATCGTTCCACATGAAATTGTGCCAGTCTTCATCAATGCTTCCTATCCAAGGTTAATAGGCTGTACTGGCCACAAAGTAATGAAATCAACAATGACTCTCATTTTAGCCTCGTCTGCTGTTGATCCTTAACCGGTTCATTCGTGCAGTGGGGATAGAATGGAGATAGCGTAAGCTTCACAAGACAGCCAGGACAAGATTTTAAACTGAAAAGAAGGATAATCTATGGAGTACTTGCTGATTGTATACTGTAAACCTTGCCTTCAACGAGGTAGAAGTAGAAAATGGATTGGAAAGCGTATGATAGCCGCCCAATACAATCGATTTCAGTCGGCAATATTGTCATTCACTCATAAATTACCTTGATCGTCCTAGCCATGATACCCTACCTGCATTAACCCCTGAAGGAACAGGCATGAGAATTGCAAAATTGCCCATAGTTTACAGCTAGCCTTGCATAGATGACATCAACATCCATCATATTAATCAATACAATCTAGAATGAAGTTAATAATTCACTCATCACAAACTACAGGTGACATCGAAAGTATCATTTTAGCTGTTAGTGAGTGATCGTCACTGTAATACGTCTTATGTGAGATAA